GTCAGGGCACATGCCTGGGTTGCGGGCTAGGCACCCGATCAATGACTCTCTCATCATTGATGTTTCTATCTCTCTCTCTCCCCCTCCTTTACTCTCTCTGAAATCAATAAAGATATGTTTTTTTAAAAAAAATGACTGCAGGAAAAGTCTGTGTCTCAGAAGACTTGGACTTTCTCCCTTGGTTTCTATCATTTTAGGGTTCAGTTTGTGATTTCTCACAAACACAAGACAGATAATCCAGGCTTCAACCCTACAATGACTTGCACTGACAAACAGCTGTGTGTGTGGCTACAGTGCTCCACTCAGCAAGTATAAGACCCTCTCTAACCCAAGGCTCTCGCTCTCCAGCCATTAAAAAAAAAGCATCGAAGCCGTAAAACTTCACCCAGAGTCCACCACAAGCCCACCTGCCCTCCTACTGACACTGCTGCTCCAGCTTCTTCTGCCTTCCCATACACTCACCTGGAGGAGCGGCTTGTCCTGCATCCACATGCAATAAAACAGTCCTTTCCAAACCTTCAGCACCTTGTCATGAGTGAAACCACCTGCACCAAAAACAGCAACACTCAGGCGAAGTGAACCCCAACCTTTTAGTAGCAGGGATGAAGACAGAGAAAGGTGACTCCTTGAACTAGGCCAAAGTCCTATGACAGCAAAGGGACCTGGCCCACCCCTCTCAAGCCTTCCTCCTAACTCTGAACCCAGTGGGCCTGGGCCTGCGGGGACTCCCTCAGGTAACTGCCATTTCATTCTATCAATAAACACTAAGAATCTACAAGTATCAGGCATCTTACTCCATTTTTAGACATTCAAAACTGAGCAAGTCACCATCTCCTGAGCTGGACGGTGATTCTGTTGATCATTCATCCAGCGTTACACTTGGGGTTTGTGTGCTATTCTGCATTACGCTTCAAATTCCAAACGGAAAAGTTAAATCATCAGGCTAGCAAGGCTGGAAGGTATATAAAACCACTCAAAGCATCTACTGAGCTCCTGTGTTCAATGAGCAGTGAGTGGATCTCAGACTTCAGCACTAGCACTGGAGTCACTTGGAGGGCTCATAACCTAGAGATGCTGACCCTACGGCCGGTGTCTGACTCAGCAAGGCTGGGATGAGACAAGAATGTGCATTTCTAACCAGAGCCCCGCTGAAGCCGGAGTGGCTGCCGGGGCACCACGCCTGCAGACCCTCTGCNCTCTCGCCTGGGCGCGTGCCGTGACGTCACACGAACACGCCGGCCTCGCCGGGACGCGCCAGTGACGTCATACGCCTGCGAGGGCCCCGCCGTGACCGCGCGCCATCGCCGCGTAGCGGCCGGACCCCGCGAGGACAGCACGAGGCCGGGGCGTTCAGGAGAGGTCAGGGGGCTGCAGTTCCACCCGATTGCGGACGGAGGGCGCTGTGGCGCCGAGCAGGACGCGGAGGATGGAGAGGACCCTGCGCCCCCAGGACTCTTTCCTTCGGGCGGGGTCATCAGAAAAGGGCGCGAGGGCGAAAGAAAGGGGTTTGCAGGAGCCGCGGCCGCCACACGAGCGCCCTGCCGTGGCCGCAGGCGCCCCTCCCGCGCAGCACCCGCACCTCCCGCAGCCTCGGGGCTGCAGCCGGGCTGTCAGGGCCGGAGGAAGCCTGCGCGGTGCCCCAGAGGGCACTCACCCCCAGGCCGGACAGAGCGCGAGACAACTGTCCAGTCTGCAGAGTAAATGCCGCGGGCGAAGGCAGGAGTGACTGGATGCCTGTATGAAGGAGGGGACGTGCACATGCGTGTGCCAATCCCGACTGGGCCCTGGTTCAAAGAAAAAGCTGTACAAGTCATTTTGGGGTCAATTGGGAAAGCTGGTATACAGACGAGACGTTGGATTACAGTGCAGAATAATTATTTTCTGAGGTGTGACAATGTAGTGTTTTTGTGTATGAAGAATGGACTCGGCAGACTTCTTCTGTAAAGGACCACATGTCAGGGAACCCCAAGCCCCGGCTGGTGGATCTGCTAGGCTCGGAGAAGGGAGGGCTATGATTTATTAGGACAAAGGGACACAAAGCAAAATCATTGCAGGAAAAAGCCGTGTAGAGTGAGTCCAGGGGACACCAGGAGGAAGCTTCAGAATCCTCTCCAGGTGGCGTCACACGGGACACACTTAACCCCCCAGCAAGGAGCTGTGACAGCACATGGGAAATGTCCACTAACGGAGCAAACTGGAGAGACACAGACTACATTACATCGGTGAGTACAGGACAGTTAACATTTGGCATTTATTACTAAACAGAGACGGCATGTGGGCAACAAGGTAACACTGAGAGGTTTGTGGTCGTCCGCTGGTGCCAGTATGGTTATGCCCTCAAGGGGTTTGGGAAAGACATTTTCTCTGACTTTTCAAAGGTATCTCATCCTGGATGCATAAGAACAATGGACAGGGCTTGAGGCAATAGATTGTCCTTTACTAAGGGAGCTATAGGCCTGGGATGCGATTACCCACGACCTGCCCAGCTAGAAATTTAGATCAGATCACCCCGTGAGGTTACTTTAGTCACTGAGCTTGTCAGGCCCACTATCCAGCCCCCAGAGCTTGTTGTCAGGACTGCTAGGTAGTCCTGATTTCATACAGACGTTCATTCAATTAGGAGTGACTTGTGGGGGTCTCTCCTTCCCCTCACCCCACACCTGGCCTCCCACGCTTCCCTGAAGTTACAGACCAGGCTCTTCCCTGGTCTTACAGGAAAAGCTTGCCTCCTCCACATATCCGCTCTTGGGCCACTCCAGCTGGGACTAGGCACTGGGTCCCACAGAAGACAAGGCTGGGCCTGCTCCTGCAGTCAGCACCCAGTGCGAGGAGAGGCCCAGCATCCCCTAAGGTGCAGGAACAGGGTGCAGCTGGAATGCCACTCCCAGTCCAACCTGAGGCCCTGGGAGTCATCGCATCACTGGACTCCTTTCCCCCACCTCTGGTTCAGCCATGTCAGCCCTTCACTATGTCCCTGAGGCATATGCTGGTGACATCCATAGTGGCTGGCACAAGGTGGGTACTTGCCAGGTCCTGCAGATGAGGAGTGCAAGCCAATCCAATGCACTCGGGAATGAGGTCAGGCGAGGCCTGATCCTGGACACCAGGAGGCAGTGGCAGCCCCTGCTCCCCAGCTATTCCTGGAGCCCAGTGAGCACAGACTTCTCTCCCTACTGCCCTCTGCGACTCTCAGGTCCAGCTCCCACTCATCTCTGGTTCCTCTGACCTGGCATCGTGCTCTGCATGGGGTCAGGGACACCCAAGAGCAGAAAAACCCCATCCTCCAGGGTCTGTGCCCTCCTCCCCCCACCTCCCCAGCGAGTGACTCCGTGGCCAGTAAGACCAACACCAAACTCCGGGTGGCAGGGGATGCCCACCGCAGCACACCATCCTTGGTCCCTAGGCGGTGCCCTCCGCAGGGGGCCCACATTGCGCAGTGTGCCCACCCCTCACCCATCTCCCCACTCTCTGCCCTCTGGAGGCCCTCCCAGCCCCACCCCATGCTAGCTTCCTTCCCACCCGGCCCCTCCCTTGTGATGGCACAACCGGTGCCCTGCCTGCTTCCGCCCTGTGTCATGCAGCCTGGCTGACTTAAGGTGGAGGGCCCTCTGCACAGGTAACCACCCTCACATTCCGCTGCTCCATACCCGCTGCTGCTCCGTGGGCTCAGCTCCTCCATCCGGCTGCATCGCAATGAGCGCTCCCCTGAAGTTGCGCGGTGGGTGGTCCGACACCCGGCCTGTCACTGCCCAGATCCAGGACATCACCGACAAGGTACATGGGCTGGGTCTTCCAGAGCTCCTGATCTGTTCCTGCCCTGTGGCTGAAACCCACAGGGCTAGGGGCAGGTCTGGGACAGGCACCCAAGGGACTGGACTTCTGCAGACTGCGTTCGGGGGTGCTCAGAGGGAAGGGCCTGATGTGTTTGTCCTCAGGCGCTTCAGTTGAATCAGAGAGACCAGGAGACAGAGCAGGTGGGGTGCAAGGGAGCCATCAGTGAACCTGGGGAAGGGTATGCAGGGTCCTAACCTTCTACTCTTACTCTGCTACTCCTTGTGTAAGTTTGAAATTCGTTCCAAATGAACAGATTTTATTATTTATTTATTTTTTAAATATATCTTTATTGACTTCAGAGAGAGGAAAGGAGAGGGAGATAGAGAGAGATAGAAACATCAATGATGAGTCACTGATCAGCTGCAGCCCCCAACCCGGGCATGTGCCCTGACCGGGAATCGAACCCCGATCACCTGGATCCTGGGTCGACGCTCAACCGCTGATCCATGCCTGCCGGGCCAAATAAACAGTTTTTAAAACCAAACAGAAACCAGGCTGGGGTGAAGAGGCAGAGCCTGGTTCAGAGCCTGGGCAGCAAGTGAACATGGGCCTCAGTTTCCTCCTCTGTAAAGGGGGCATCACTAGAATACCTTGAAAGAAGGTTCTACGGCAGGTGGGATGGTGGGCCCCAGGAAGGCTCGGTTCCGAGTGAGAAGAAAAAAAGTCAAACCAGCAAGCCAGCTTCCTGCAGCAGTGTTAACTAAGACCATCTAAGCCTTTAGAACTAGTCTGGTCACTCCAGGCAAAGTNAGTGTTAACTAAGACCATCTAAGCCTTCAGAACTAGTCTGGTCACTCCAGGCAAAGTCAACATGCTCCGGTGCCTACCAGTTAATCTAGGTAGCACTCAGACACCTGGAAACTAGATTAGGTTTTAAATTTAGAAAAAACAGCCAACCAGCCAACCTGCTCTCTCCTTCCTCCATGTAGATGCTCGGCTAATGAGAGGCCAAGATCCTGGGAGACAGGAGTGAACCAAAAGTATGGTTCCTGTTTGAGACCTAGGATCAGGATGAGCCTCTGCCCAAAGGGACTACATCTCAGGGAGTCATCTAGAAATGCAGGAAAGCGCCTTTACCTGCACAGCACTTCCTCCGCTGCCTTATCTGTTACAGGAGAGCCTAGGAACAGCCTAAGTGCCCCGTAGGGGAAAGTTAAGACAATTAAGGCCCATCTGTAAGATAGAAGATTAAATCTAAAACTAAAATTAACTTTAGTAAAATTCTAAACTGTTTTAAGTTTAAAACAGTAATTAAAAATGATATAGTCGTCCAAATGAACTGTTTGTGTGTGAACTAAAACAAGAAAAACAGGGTGTAAGCTTGCATATATTGTCACAATGAGGAAAAAATAAGCATTTCCCACACCTAGAAGAGAAAGTGCCAGTGGGAGAGTGAAAGCACACCTCGGGAAGGGCAGTGGGATTCCGGAATTGGTCGCTGCACTTTCTCCTGAGTGCGACCAGTGGGACTAGACTCCATGGGCAGGAGCAGACACCTTGTAGAGGTTCTGGAAGGGGCGGGCCACAGAGGTGGGTTCAAGNATGGGCAGGAGCAGACACCTTGTAGAGGTTCTGGAAGGGGCGGGCCACAGAGGTGGGTTGGTAGCGTTTGCGCGAGGTGGCCGCTCCTGTGGGTCAGTGGCCCTTGCAGGAGGGGAGACACCGAGCTTTCCTTCCCTCTGTCCCCCAGGTGAAGCCCCAGCTGGAGGAAAAGGAAAACAGAAAGTTCTGCACTTTTAAGGCGACGGAGTACAAGAGCCAGGTGGTTGGGGGCATGAACTACCTCATTAAGGTGGGTGTCGGGTATGTGGGTGCTCACCCAGGCAGGGGTCTGTAGGTGCCAATTTGGGTGCTTAAAGGGGGCCCTGGAGCCCTGGCTGGCGTAGCGCATTGGATAGCGTGTTGGCCCGTGCACTGAAGGGTCTCAGGTTCGATTTCCGGTAAGGGTGGGTACCTGAGGGCAGGTCTGATCCCCGGCCAGGTGGGGGCCTGTACAGGAGGCAACCAATCCATGTGTCTCTATCACATCCATGTTTCTCTCTCTCCCCCCGTCCCTATCTCCCCTCTCTCTAAAGAATCAATGGAAAAAATATATTCCAATGAGGAGTAACAAAGAGTAACTAAAAGATAAAGGGGGTCCTGCGGCAGTCCCTGANAGGAGTAACAAAAAGTAACTAAAAGATAAAGGGGTCCTGCGGCAGCCCCCGCCTTCAAGGGGCTCTTCCTCTCTCCAATGAGTGTGCATGCCCTGGCCAGTGCGCTTAGTTGGTGGGGAGTCCTCCCTGCACCAAAAGGTTGCCTGTTCGATTCCTGGTCAGGGCACATGCCCAGGTTTCAGGCTTGATCTCCAGTAGAAGGCATGCAGGAGGCAGCTGATGGGTGTTTCCCATCGATGTTTCTCTCTTTCCCTTCCTCTCTNCGATTCCTGGTCAGGGCACATGCCCAGGTTTCAGGCTTGATCCCCAGTAGAAGGCATGCAGGAGGTAGCTGATGGATGTTTCACATCGATGTTTCTCTCTCTCCCTTCCTCTCCCTCTCAAAGTCAATAAAACCATTTAAAAAGTAGTAAAAAATAAAATGAGCGTGCATGCACACATGCAGGCCTCCAAGGAGGAGAGGACTGAGCCTTTCGGGAAACTAAGGGCTCTGAGGAGCAAATGTAGGGTGCCAAGGGTCCTGGCTGGGGTGATGGGCATCTGCCACGCCTGAAGGAGGAAGATGGGAATGTCGTCAGCCTAATTGCCGATGCCCTGAAGGGACACAGCCTCCCAGGGCCTTGCGCACACAGTCCAGTCAAGCATGGGGACTGGGGGTCCAAGGCAGCACCTGCCCCCCTCACCCGACTCTCTCTTTGCAGGTTCAAGTTGGAGATGACGACTATATACACATTCGTGTGTATGAAAGTCTCCCACATGAGAACAAGCCCTTGGCCTTGCACGGCTATCAGACCAACAAGACCAAGCAAGACGAGCTGGATATTTTCAACTTCTGAATCTTGAACTAAGCCCGTCATCCATGTGTTTCTCTGTTGTCTGTGATCACGTTTGGGTCCTGAATGAGCGATGTCTCTACACTGTGCCACTGTTCAGGGAGGGGATGTTTTGCATCAATCTCATATTTCTATTTCTGCTTTCAATTGAGTGATTTTCCTCCCAATCAATGATCTTAACTAAACTACTTTCAAAGAGGGCTTAGGTTACCTCTAAATACATATATTTTTAAATCTTTGCAAATTTCCTCCTTTGTTTTGGAATTTTTTTCTTCATCTGAAACCATAATCACTAGATAGATGTGTCCAGACATGTTTGCAAAGTTCGTTCATGACCACCCGCTGGCCTCAGCCAGCTGGAGACCCCTTCCACCTGAGGAGGAGAGCCCAGCAAGCTTGCTCTGGGTCACAGGAAGTGGGTGGTGGGCCCAGGATTCCAGGAGCCCATTTCAACCACAGCTCTACACACTGTTGCTGGGATTCTATGTCCTGTCTCCAGGCCTTGGTTTCTCCGCATAAATAAGAGGATCTCAGGAAACCAATTCTGGACCATGAGCTCTAGACGTGCTCAGACACAATCACACACTTTACATTTCCATAGCTATACGCAGATGTAATGACACTGGTACCAGTGTGTCCTGCAAACCACCTGTGCAGCCGCCCTGAGCACCGTGAGCCTGGGAGGCCATGAGCTCATCCAACGAGCTGAGCTGCATGTGCTCAGAGCCTGAGCATCTGGCAAGAGCATGTCTGTTTCAACAATGCTTTTGGATTCCACAGGGGTCATGCCCACAGTGAAGTCAGACCACTGGTTGTTTTGCCCAATGTGTTTGTATGAAGTAGAATTCAAAAGAGCACCCCAGAGTAATAATAATAACTGGTGAAATTTCTATCTGTGTGGCTCAGGCTCAAGGTAGATGTGTACCTGAGGATTAACCAGGCTCTGACTCTTGTGAACCCCGCGAAGCTTCCCTGGGGTGCAAGGCATTTGGTGCAGGGGTCAGGCTGTCCGGGTGTGAGGTCATGGAGGGCATGGAGGGGTGGGATGGTGAGCATGCAGAGCCTGGAGTGCAGCAGTAAGGAATCTCTGAATAATGAGCTGTGTGTATGCCAATCTGTCCATGAACTGTAGGAATAAAACACTTTCAGGAGACGCTCTTAGTCTCAGCAAACGGAGTCAAGCAAGTTTTCACTGAAATGAAGACCTAGCACCGTTGCTACTTGGGACTTTNACTTTACATTTCCATAGCTATACGCAGATGTAATGACACTGGTACCAGTGTGTCCTGCAAACCACCTGTGCAGCCGCCCTGAGCACCGTGAGCCTGGGAGGCCATGAGCTCATCCAACGAGCTGAGCTGCATGTGCTCAGAGCCTGAGCATCTGGCAAGAGCATGTCTGTTTCAACAATGCTTTTGGATTCCACAGGGGTCATGCCCACAGTGAAGTCAGACCACTGGTTGTTTTGCCCAATGTGTTTGTATGAAGTAGAATTCAAAAGAGCACCCCAGAGTAATAATAATAACTGGTGAAATTTCTATCTGTGTGGCTCAGGCTCAAGGTAGATGTGTACCTGAGGATTAACCAGGCTCTGACTCTTGTGAACCCCGCGAAGCTTCCCTGGGGTGCAAGGCATTTGGTGCAGGGGTCAGGCTGTCCGGGTGTGAGGTCATGGAGGGCATGGAGGGGTGGGATGGTGAGCATGCAGAGCCTGGAGTGCAGCAGTAAGGAATCTCTGAATAATGAGCTGTGTGTATGCCAATCTGTCCATGAACTGTAGGAATAAAACACTTTCAGGAGACGCTCTTAGTCTCAGCAAACGGAGTCAAGCAAGTTTTCACTGAAATGAAGACCTAGCACCGTTGCTACTTGGGACTTTCAGGGACAGACAGGGGGAGATAGCATTTGGGTGCTCAGCAGGGCTGACAGCCCACGCCCTGTAGGCAGGGAGCCCCCTACTGCCCTCTGCGACTCTCAGGTCCAGCTCCCACTCATCTCTGGTTCCTCTGACCTGGCATCGTGCTCTGCATGGGGTCAGGGACACCCAAGAGCCAGAAAACCTCATCCTGCAGGATCTGCTCCGTCGTCCCCCCATCTCCCCAGCCAGGGACTCTGTGGCCAGTAAGACCAACACCAAACTCCGGGTGGCAGCGGACGCGCATTGCAGCACACCATCCTTGGTCCCTAGGCGGTGCCCTCTGGGTGGGGGGGGCCCGCATTTCCAAGTGTGCCTGCCCCTCACCCATCTCCCCACTCCCTACCCCCTGGGGGCCCTCCCAGCCCCACCCAGAGCTCCCTTCCTTCCCGCTCGGCCACTCCCTTGTGATGGTGAAACCGGTGCCCCGCCTGCTTCCGCCCTGTGTCATGCACCCTAGCTGACTTAAGGCCAAGGGCCCTCTGCACAGGTAACCACCCTGGCAGTTCACTGCTCCATACCCGCTGCTCCTCCGTGTGCTCAGCTCCTCTGTCCCGCTGCATCACAATGAGCGTTCCGAGACTCGGTGGGTTGTCGGACACCCGGGCAGTCGATGCCGAGATCCAGGACATCGCCAACAAGGTACACGGGTCGGGTTCCCCAGAGCTTAGGGTCGGTTCCTGTCCTGTGGCTGGAACCCCCGTGGCTAGGGGTAGGTTTTGGACAGCCACTGAAGGGCCTCGACTTCGGACAGCGCACAGGGGCGCTCAGAGGGGAGGGCCTGATGTGATTGTCCTCAGGCGGTTCAGTGGGAATCAGAGACCAGGAGACAGAGCAGGTGGGGTGCAGGGGAGCCGTAGTGAACCTGGGGAAGGGTATGCAGGGTCCTAACCTTCTACTCTTACTCTGGTACTACTTGTGTAAGTTTGAAATTAGTTCCAAATATACGGCTTTTAAAACCAAACAGAAACCAGGCTGGGATGCAGAGGCAGAGCCTGTTTCAGACCCTGGGCAGCGAGTGACCCGTGGGCGTCAGTTTCCCCCTCTGTAAAGGGGGCATCACTAGGGGGCCTTCACAGAAGGTTCTAGGGCAGGTGGGATGGTGGGGCACAGGAAGGCTCGGGTTCCGAGTGAGGAGACAAAAAGTCAAACCAACCTTTCTCCTGGGAGTCCCTGCTGCTTCCCTAACCCGACAGTGTGCGGCCACCGGTCTTTGCTCAGGTGGTTTACGCCATCTGACCACATAAAGGGCGATGAGTCAGTCCCATGAGACTCTGAAAAGGAGGAATTTGCAGGGACTGGGTGATGAGCCATCTAGGGCTGGGGTTCCTGGGGCCTCCCCCACACTGCTCTCTGAGCCCAGCTTTTCCTTGCTGTTCTGATTTCCAGGCCTAAGAAATTCCTCACTTGTTACGGGAACTTTGTGCATAAGCTCATTCAGGAGAGAGGAGTTGCTGTCTTGGGGCTACTTAATTGGGTGTTGGTCACTTGAAAGTGACAAGAGGGCAGTCACCATTGCTGCTGGCAGGCAGGTCTTGAGAGCGGGCCTTTGGTGGTGACTCTTAGAGGACAGGGGCAGGGACACCATTTGTACTGACTCTTCCCCAGTCTGGGCTGCAGGTGAGGAGAACAGAGGTCAGAGAGGGAGCCCCGCCAGGATGTCAAAGTCCCAAATCCTGTCTCAGCCTCCTGGAGGAGTGCCCACCAGTCCTGACCTTGGCCTTCCCTGCCCTCTGCTGCCCCCTGACCCCTTGAGGGCTGGTAACTGGCATCTTCCTAACCATGCCTGGGCCTCTTGTGCTCCCCTTGGCATTAGTCCAGCCCATCTTTCTCCTGGTCAGCAGCAGGGTCAGTGAACTGTCACTGCAGGCGGTGGCATCACCTGCATTTAGGTTTTCTCACCATTCCTTGCAAACCACGGGGGACTTTCCTCCCTCCACTCCTGAAACAGGCCAAGAGGGAGGCGGTTCCTTCCCAGGTGCCTGTGTGGCGGGTTTGTGTGTCACTCATCCCCTCAGGCTGTCCACTGTCCTCAGACCAAGCAGGGCACCTTGCACGAGCAAGGGCGCTACAGGTAAGCGCTGAGACACAGGCGGGCCCGCAGTGAGAACCCTGCCGGCTGCACAGAGGGCAGAGGAGCTGCAGGATGGGCCTGCCTCCCCCCGCCTGACCCTCCCTCCTGCCCTGAGCTGCCCTGACTCCAATCTCCTCCCCCTTCCTACCCCGAGGTAGAGCCCCTCCCTGAAGGCTCTGGGAGGCCAGCAGCCTTTCTTCCTTTGCCACAGTGACTCTCTTGCATGTAATGAGGGTGATCCCCCTTGGCCCCCTCCCACCAGCAAGCCTGCTGCCCACAGCATCTTTATCTAAACTCCTCTAACCCTTTAGAGCTAGTCTGGTCACTCCAGCCAAAGGCAACATGCTCCAGTGCCTACCAGTTAATCTAGGTAGCACTCAGACACCTGGAAACTAGATTAGGTTTTAAATTAAGAAAAAACAGCCAACCAGCCAACCTGCTCTCTCCTTCCTCCATGTAGATGCTCGGCTAATGAGAGGCCAAGATCCTGGGAGACAGGAGTGAACCAAAAGTATGGTTCCTGTTTGAGACCTAGGATCAGGATGAGCCTCTGCCCAAAGGGACTACATCTCAGGGAGTCATCTAGAAATGCAGGAAAGCGCCTTTACCTGCACAGCACTTCCTCCGCTGCCTTATCTGTTACAGGAGAGCCTAGGAACAGCCTAAGTGCCCCGTAGGAGAAAGTTAAGACAATTAAGGCCCATCTGTAATCTGGAAGATTAAATCTAAAACTAAAATTAACTTTAGTAAAATTCTAAACTGTTTTAAGTTTAAAAGAATAATTAAAAATTATATAGTTGTCCAAATGAACTGTTTGTGGGTGACGTCAAAAAAGAAAAACAGGGTATAAGCTTGTATATAGGTCATAATGATGAAAATATAAGCATTTCCCACACCTAGAAGAGAAAGGGCATGTGGGACAGTGAAAGCACACCTCGGGAAGGGCAGTGGGATTCCGGAATTGGTCGCTGCACTTTCTCCTGAGTGCGACCAGTGGGACTCGTCTCCATGGCCAAGAGCAGACACCTTGTAGAGGTTCTGGAAGGGGTGGGCCACTGAGGTGGGTTGGTAGCGTTTGCCCGAGGTGGCCGCTCCTGTGGGTCAGTGGCCCTTGCAGGAGGGGAGACACCGAGCTTTCCTTCCCTCTGTCCCCCAGGTGAAGCCCCAGCTGGAGGAGAAGGAAAACAGAAAGTTCTGCACTTTTAAGGCGACTGAGTACAAGAGCCAGTTGGTTGCGGGCATGAACTACTTCATCAAGGTGGGTGTGGGCTATGTGGGCGCTCACGCAGGCTGGGGTCCGCAGGTGCCAATTTGGGTACTTAAAGGGGGGCCTGGAGCCCTGGCTGGCGTGGCGCATTTGATAAAGTGCGGCCCGTGCCCCGAAGGTTTTCGGGTTTGATTCCCAATCAAGGGTGGGTACCTAGAAGGCAGGTCCGATCCCCGACCAGGTTGGGGCGGGTGCAGGAGGCAACCAATCCATGTGTCCCTCTCACATCCATGTTTCTCTCTGTCCCCCCTTCCCTCTTTCCCTTACCTCTAAAGAATCAATGGAAAAAATATATTCAAATGAGGAGTAACAAAAAGTAACTAAAAGATAAAGGGGTCCTGCGGCAGCCCCCGCCTTCAAGGGGCTCTTCCTCTCTCCAATGAGTGTGCATGCCCTGGCCAGTGCGCTTAGTTGGTGGGGAGTCCTCCCTGCACCAAAAGGTTGCCTGTTCGATTCCTGGTCAGGGCACATGCCCAGGTTTCAGGCTTGATCCCCAGTAGGAGGCATGCAGGAGGCAGCTGATGGGTGTTTCCCATCGATGTTTCTCTCTCTCCCTTCCTCTCCCTCTCAAAGTCAATAAAACCATTTAAAAAGTAGTAAAAAATAAAATGAGTGTGCATGCACGCATGCAGGCCTCCAAGGAGGAGAGGACTGAGCCTTTCGGGAAACTAAGGGCTCTGAGGAGCAAATGTAGGGTGACAAGGGTGCTGGCTGGGGTGATGGGCATCTGCCACGCCTGAAGGAGGAAGATGGGAATGTCGTCAGCCTGACTGCTGATGCCCTGAAGGGACACAGCCTCCCACAGTCCAGTCAAGCATGGGGACTTGGGGTCCAAGGCAGCACCTGCCCCCTCACCTGACTCTCTCTTTGCAGGTTCAAGTTGGAGATAATGACTTCATACACATTCGCGTGTATGAAAGTCTCCCACATGAGAACAAGCCCTTGGCCTTGCACGGCTATCAGACCAACAAGACCAAGCAAGACGAGCTGGAATATTTCTAGTTCTGAATCTTGAACTAAGCCCATCATCCACGAAGTTCTATGTCGTCTGTGATCACGTCTGGGTCCTGAATGAGCGATGTCTCTACGCTGTGCCACTGCTGATGGAGGGGCTGTTCTGCACCAATCTGGTGTCTCTATTTCTGATTTTAATAGTGTGCTTTTCCTCCCAATCAATGATGTTAACTAAACTACTTTCAAAGAGGGCTTAGGTTACCTCCAAATACATATATTTTTAAGTCTTTGCAAATTTCTCCTTTGTTTTGGAATTTTTTTCTTCATCTGAAACCATAATCACTAGGTAGATGTGTCCAGAAATGTTTGCAAAGTCCTTTCATGACCACACTGNACTAGGTAGATGTGTCCAGAAATGTTTGCAAAGTCCTTTCATGACCACACGCTGGCCTGAGCCAGCTGGAGACCCCTTCCACGTGAGGAGGAGAGCCCAGCAAGCTATCCCTGGGTCACAGGAAGTGGGTGGTGGGCCCAGGATTCCAGGAGCCCATTTCAACCACAGCTCTACACACTGTTGCTGGGATTCTGTGTCCTGTCTCCAGGCCTTGGTTTCCCCACATAAATAAGAGGATTTGAGGAAACCAATTCTGGACCATGAGCTCTAGACGTGCTCAGACACAATCACACACTCTACATTTCCATAGCTATACGCAGATGCAATGACACTGGTACCAGTGTGTCCTGCAAACCTGCTGTGCAGCCGTCCTGAGCACCGCGAGCCTGGGAGTCCATGAGCTCATCCAACGAGCTGAGCTGCATGTGCTCAGAGCCTGAGCATCTGGCAACAGCATGTTTGTTTCAACAATGCTCTTGGTTTCCACAGGGGTCATGCCCACAGTGAAGTCAGACCACTGGTTGTTTTGCCCAATGTGTTTGTATGAAGTAGAATTCAAGAGTGCCCCAGAGTAAGAGTAATGAGTGGTGAAATTTCTATCTGTGTGGCTCAGGCTCAAGGTAGATGTGTACCTGAGGATTAACAGGCTCTGACACTTGTGAACCCCGCGTAGCTTTCCTGGGGCACCGGGCATTTGGTGCAGAGTCAGGCTGTCCGGGTATGAGGTCGTGAAGGGCATGGAGGGGTGGGATGGTCAGCATGCAGAGCCTGGAGTGCAGCAGTAAGGAATCTCTGAATAATGAGCTGTGTGTATCCCAATCTGTCCATGAACTATAGGAATAAAACACTTTCAGGAGACGCTCTTAGTCTCAGCAAACGGAGTCAAGCAGGTTTTCACTGAAATGAAGACCTAGCACCGTTCTTACTTGGGACTTCCAGGGACAGGCAGGGGGAGATAGCATTTGGGTGCTCAGCAGGGCTGACAGCCCACGCCCTGCAGGCAGGGAGCCCCCAAGGACACAGCTCTCACTGCCCGTGTGGACTGAGTCTGGGCTGTGCTCCCAGGGTGCTAAGACATTTGGGAAATGAGAGAGGTGGCAGTTACACAAGGCTGAGGTCTAAATGCCATTGGGCTGTGCACTTTAAGATGGTTCTGTGTGCTCAGCTGGTGTGGCTCAGGGGTTGAGCATCAACCTGGCATCCGAGAGATCACGGTGCAATTCCCTGTCAGGTNTCTGTGTGCTCAGCTGGTGTGGCTCAGGGGTTGAGCATCAACCTGGCATCTGAGAGATCACGGTGCAATTCCCTCTCAGGNAGAGATCACGGTGCAATTCCCTGTCAGGTTGCGGGCTCCATCCCCGGTAGGGAGCATGCAGGAGGCAGCCGATCAATGACTCCTTATCCTTAGGTGTGTGTCATGTGACTTTGACCTCAATAAAAACATACCGCAGGACAGTAAACCAGAGCCGGTTTGGGGAACGCCTTTGGCAGAGGATTTGGGGAACAAACGCTACTCTGGAGCTCTTCCACCTGCCCACCAGGCCCAGCATCTCCTCTGCCCACTCTGGGCCCTGGGTGCTGACCTGTGGAGATGACCTCGGTTTTTGTCCCCTGGCCACTTGCTGCAGGGATCGCCTCTGGGACTCCAGGAAATGCCCTCCCTTCTACAGGACTCTTCTTTTGGTTCTGGTAACTGGCCTGCTAGTTAGCCCTTCACATGAAGCTGGTAATGACTCTCCTTCCCTCCATGTCCCCCCGGGAGTTGCTGACCATCCTGTCCCTTTTGGAGTGCTTATAAGTGGCCTCTTTACTAAGCGATCCTCAAGTCACTGGTCAGGGCCATCTAATTCCCCAGCTCCAGGAAGACAGTGATCAAGGGACCCGCCCAACCCCTGAGTCACAAGCCCTTGGTCCCCAGCTGTCCAGGTAGAGGCAGTAAGCAGCACAGGGCGGTGAGGGTGCATCTGAGAGGGGAAGCCAGGTGCTTCAGACAAAGCAGACCACCTGTCCTCCCGCCCTCTCCTTGCCCTTCTCACAGAGCCCGAGATACCTGGGGCGAGCTAAGGATTACCTCCAAAGGTGTGGGAGGGTGTATAGCACCTGCTGAGCTTGTAGGACCGGTGCTGTCACCACTCAGGTAGGAGGGAATTAGAACCAAGGGGCAGTGACAGCTGATCAGTGACGAGCTGGTGCTCACAATCTGGCAGGGATGGGCCAGGAAAGGGAGCCCCACCCTCCTCTGATCCCTGGGCGGATCTTGCAGGAGCCCTGACACACAGGGCAAGCCCAGGATGGAGACCAGAATAGGTCTGGCAGAGAGGGGACCTGGGTCACGGCGGGCAGGGCAGGCCAGGCCAGGCCCTTTACTTACGAGGGAGGCGTTTTAAGGGACAGCAGTGACTACGGCTTGGTTAATGGGGTATAGGTACTGCACAGATGATTAAGAAAAGGGAATCCTATGGAGAAAAGAAATCCTCACACCACCATTATTGCCATGAAAATATTTATTTGTGGAGAATCGTAAATCAACAGGAGCAGCACACACAGACTCTACAGTGCTGACAGGCATTTTACATTTACAACACGTCCACACACTTGCAGTGGGCAGGGCTGGTCACCACGGGGCCAATGCAACCACTGTCCGAATCTCACAGAGATCGTCCCCCTCACAGCCGCGACCCAGGCTGCACCACAGCCCCTGAGAAGCCTCCAGATCCCAACCTCCCTTCCTGGAAGGACCAGGACAGCATCGGCGGGGCTCCGAGTCACCCCCTCAGGCTCCTGCTGCTCATTTTGCAATTATTGGCTGAAATGCCAACTATAATTCTAAATTAGAAGGTACACAGCTATAGCGTTACAGCATTCAAAACACCCTCGGCCTCCTTGGAGACTGAGAATTCCTCTCCAGTTCCCTAAATATTAACATCTACCCCTCCCATCAGCAAGACGAGGGTTGCAGTGTGGGCTCAGGTGGAACCACAGGGGAGGGCTGGCTCTCGCTCTCCAGCCAGCTGACTTGCAGGCCTCGATGTCCCAGCTATGGTGGGCAACCCACGGCCTCAGGAAGGTGTCTCCTACAGAGCGGGCTTCCCGTCACACAGGATCGGAACTTGCCCGTCGTGGTGTGGGGCTGGGGCAGAGGAAAGGTGGCAGGTCGGGGGCTTCATTCTCCACGACCACGGTGAAGCTCCCCCCCACACCCTGAAGCAGGGGTCAGACGTGGGCAGGAAGCCTGGCTTGAGCCCAGGGCTCTGCTTGGCTTGGACAGTGGAAAAGCTGTTTACTCTGCCAGCATTTAAAAAGAAAATTCTAGGTGGAGCCTTTCACTAATATAGTTTTAGAATATTCTCGAAGAACTAAAGTTACTCATTGATTTCTTACTAACAGAGTGAACATATTGTGTTGTGAGCTCAAATCTCTAATGAAAGGCAGGAATGTGGTTTGTAAGACAGTTTTTGAATCAGTTAAGCAGGAAACACTTTGCAGCGAGAATAAGCTGCAGACGTCCACAAGGAGACACATGCACTATGAGAACTGTGAGCGCCCGTGTGGCAGCTCCCCGTGGGGGCTTCAGGACACGGGCAATGGGCGCCGCTGGGAGGAGCCTGTGGGACACAGCAGGGGACGGGACACAGGCAGGGTTCCCACCCCTGTGCACCCCCGCAAACTGCAGAGCCTGGTTCCCTTCACCAGACAGAAAGACTTACACACTGAAGAAACACCCCCAGAAGCAGAGCTGATGTCTGCCATCTACCAGGGTGGGGGCCAAGGACCCCTCCTGCCCACCACCCCTCCTCCACTCTCGCTGACCCCTGCTGGCAGAGGCAGGAAGTGCGTGGCCGGATTCTGAAACCAGAGCTGTCTATAAATCACACGCAGGATTGCATGACGCTCCTCTCACCTGCAGACTTGCTGGGTACCCGATTCTGCACCTGCCACAAAGCAACCGACCACAGCACACACATACCACGCCTGCACACAGCCCCAAGGTCACACATGTACCGGCCCTCGGTCAGGTTGAGGACGGCCTGACAAGCGCTTGTGGGCAGAACTGCAGACAGTAGGAGGCCTCCTGGGGGAACGATGTCCATCCTGACCAACACGCCCCAAGTTCAAGGCTTCCCTGGCTTAGGGCAGTGGACCTGGCCTCCCAGAGCCATCCTCCCCGGGGCTGGGGGTTCTTCTCAGTGCCCACTCAGCGTGTACGCCTGACATGCATCCCCTAGGGACACAGGCGATGGCCCTCTTGGGAGTCCTAGGGCAGACAGCCTCAGAGGGTGAGAAGGGAGCCCCTGCAGCCTGGCAGTGGGAGGTGGTGTGGGATGAAAACAGGTGGGCTGAGCCGCACTGCTCGGCTGGTGGGCAAAACTGGGTCTGGGGATACGTGGCTCCCACCCAGACTCAGAAAGCCAGGCCACGCTCACAATGTCCCCATCTGCACAATATCCACTCTGCTCACTTACAAACTCCCCTCCCCTCCTCCCAGCCCAGGTGGGTACTGGGGGAGGCTTCTAGGTGGAGATGTGTGTCAAGGAGGCCCGAGAGACCAGGCGGGTGGCAGAGAAGGAAGTCGGGGTGCCACCTATGCTGGCACTGAACACAGCGCAGTTGCGCAGTGTCTTTGATTCACACAGACGTGGACCTGACACCCCAGGCAGGTAGGTGATCCCATTTAAGGGCAGGAAGGACCAGGAGAGGGTGTGCACAGTGGAGGTCCAGCGGCCAGACTACGCTTCCCTCGTTTTGTGCACATTTCAACTGAGGAGTGAACACGAGGTTCAAGCTGGGACAGGAGTGGTCCCTGGACATCCATCATCCCAGCCTGTCCCACCTCCCCGCTCTCCCTCTCTCCCCCAAGCCAAGGATGCGCCCTGCGCTGCATCCAGGGGGCCTCAGCACAGGGGCGGGCTTCCCCCGTGTTTCTTTCCCACATGGATGACGGGGGGTGGGGAGGTGACTGTTCCCCTGGGACTCGGGCATCACGGTGCGGGCCGTGCGCTAAAAACACCCGCCACGTACTCAAAGCAGGTGCGCCAAGGAGGGCTCAGTCCGTTGGAAAATCAAACATTTAAAAGGTTGGCTTTAACAAGTGTAAGAACAAACAAACAAAGCATCATTTGTACCATCACGGACATATATTGCAAAAAAGACTCACTCGGTTACCTTAGCAGCACTTGGCAAGGGTTTAAGACTGGTTCAAGAAAGGGATCATATTTTATAATTCATCTTTATGGTCTACAGGAGAAGGTTTGAAACAGTGGCAAGTACTGAAATCTGCACTCTGACAACAATCTCCCACGTTAACAGGAATTATCATAATTTTGCAGATTAGTAAGCTATGGAAAGTAAAAACAAAGATCAATCCTAATTTGGACCTTATCGGTATGAAAAACTACCGCCAGGGGCCAGGGATGAAATCTGGATGGGGATTCTACACACAGGCAGCCAGGGCCTCAGCTGTGGGCGTGACAAGCGGCACATGTGGGTAGATGAGCCCAGAAAGCTCAGGCTCAGCAACGCGGGCGTGGGAACATGGAGCTCAGCCTCCCGAGGAAGCTCAGGTTTCCACAGGAGACTCACACCCTGTGGAGGCTCCCGGGGTCCCCAAGGTCCTTCTCTTAGTACAGACAGCTCAGCCCCTTCTCCCCATGGTTGGGGCTTTACAGCCAAAGGGCACAGAAGAGAAAGTCTCAGGCCACGCCTGGTTCATGGCTGTACAGAAGCTCCACGGAGGGACTAAGTCTCATCACTCTATGGGGAGCATAGGGAAGTAAAAGAACAAAACCGAAAGTGGGGCCAAGCCCCTGAAATAAAACTAAAGAACCAAGAATCGAACAGTGTCCGCGGAGCACGCTTCCCTTCACGTTGGCTGCACACAGGGCATAGGCCCAACACCCACAACCTCACTTTCCAGTGGGGTTTCAGCATCTCACGGAAGACAGATACATTCAGTTCTTTGCCCAGCCCTAGATGGCTCTCACTATTGAAATAAAAAAAGAAAACCTTTTTCTCATTGGCCGTCTCCCCAGCTCTACTTGGCAGTGGCAGAATTTGCCATTAAAGGCCCAGGGCCCTGGGTGACTGGCTGGTCCCTACGAGCACCCTGTAGGGGATGCTGCACCCCCCACCAGGCTGCAGGCCACTCCTTCCTCCTCCTTGCCCAGTGGACCCTGCAGGGACCAGGAAGCAGGGCTCTGCCCCTGGGCTCTGAGAAACCCGGTCCTCGGATACAGGGGCCGAGTCAGGGGCAGGTGCTCCGACCCTGTGCACAGGCCACGCGAGCACTACTGCACGGGAGGTAAGACACTCAGGAGTGGGCAGTGGGCGAGGAAACAGCAGAATGGTGCTGGGAGCTCCATGGAGAGAGGCATCCCTTCTTTACAGGGTATTTTCTACAAAGTGAAGACTGTGCTACTGGAGGTGTGCAGGCTCCTGCCTGTGGGCACGGAACCGTGTGTGGGGGGCAAGGGCTGGCCTCAGGAACTTTGTTTCCCAGGGGCCACATCACGGCACCCGTGCCTGTATCTCCCTGTCCCCTCCAGGTTGTGGGCTCCCAGGACATGCAAACCTCTGCACCCCGAGAGTAGGGGGTGGGGGAGTGCCTTCGAGGCAGGCTGAGTTTTTGGAGAGGGAACCCCTGCCTGCAGTGATACCCAGGGCACCCCAAAATTCTGGGCAAGTGGAGCCAAGGAGGTCATGTTGGCAGTGGACAACTGGACTAGTGTCAGGGCCTAGGGGTGAACCGTGTCAACTGTGGGAGCAGGTGCCCTCGTCTGCCTTCCATACATATCTGAACACTAACCCCCATGGCACGATGCATGTCACCAGCAGTGGGTGGCAAACACACAGTGCATGAGCTAATGTGCCATAAACTAGGTGAATTTTCCAGAAGGAGCCCAATGTGGCATCTTTCCAGATACCCTCGGCCCTGCACCAGCCTTCCCTTTACTGGCATCTCCACACCTTGCTAAGCGGGCCCTACAGATACTTGTGGGTTACAGGGTAGTCCTGCTCATACTCGTGATGAGATTTGTGGACTGACTGAATTTTTGGGGTCCTGGGAAGGTCCCCTCCAAAGTGACTGTGCAGACCTGTGGGTGTCTGGGCCAATGGGCATTATCCTGTCCAGGTGGTGAAACAAACGCCCAGGGGCCTACCCCCGAACAGCAAAGTAGGAACAAAAACCCTAAAGCAGGAACCAGGAGGGAAGGGTCAGAATGACAACAAAGGCATTTGGCATAATTCACCCGGACGCAAACAGTGAACACAAAACTCCTTCTCAGATGCACACAGATACAGCCCACACCCGACTGCAGCCTAGGGCCCAGCTCAAGCTGCACAGGGTAAATTCAATGGTGGGAGTCCATGTGGCCCTCTGGGGGCAGCGGCCCCTCCCACCAGGTACCCACCCCCCAGCTGGGGAGGATGCCCCCAAGAGAGTGACCACCAAGCTGGTGTTCCAGGGAGGCCCAGGAGCCTCTGTCGGGGAGGGAGCTGGGTCTGCAAGTTACAGATTTCTGTGATCACTCTGTTATTTTTAAAAAGTACGACTGGCATGTTTTCACAATTAAGACCAGTTGATGCTGGACACACAACAGAAAAAAAATACCAAGTGTAGGTCACAGCTCTAAGGCAGACGTTACATTTCTCACAGGGATGGAGAGGGAGACGCCGACACACTGTGTCAGTCAGCGGGTGGGCCCAGGAGGCCCTCACAGCACCGTGGCCTGGACAACAATCTCCGGGTTCTCAATGTCCCTCTTGCTCTGGACCATCCTCAGCTCCAGCTGGGCCGGGCTGGGCTTGCGGCCTTCCCCGGCCTGGGCTACAGAACAAACAAAGCGGTAGTGTCCGGGCAGGGCAGGGAGATCGCCTCTGGAGTTCCCGGCTCAGCGGGGAGCTCCAGCCGTGGCCCCCATTCCTAAAGGCCAAGGGCAGGGGGACAGCAGGAGCCACGGGGACCCCATTCATAGCAGAGTAAGAGCTGCCTCTTCCCCTCCCACCTTTCTACCCCAGGCCTCAAATGCAAGAGGCTCTCAGGAATGCAGAGGTGCCCCACGGGCCAGCCAGTGGTACCTTTTGCACACTTGATGGTCCGCTGCAGAACGTGGTGCATGGCTGACACAGTCTTCTCACAGGCCACCTGTGGGGGGAGGAACCACTCAGCCCCTGCCACACTCAGGACCGTCCACTCACCGTGTTCCCCACAGCTGCCTGCAAGAGCACTGTCTCCACCCTCAGTCATGGGGCGCTGGCCTGGCCACATGCTCCCCCAACTAGCTGGGCCTTTCCCGCACAGAACAGCCAAGCAGATGCCTGGCTAACTAACTAAACTGCCCCCTCTGGACCACAGACAGCTCTGGGGAGGGCTTGTGACTCAGGACCCTCAATACTGCCTGGCATGTAGTAGGTGCTTAATAAGTGTTTCTGGTTGGAATTAATTATAAAAAATCTACATGGGAAATACCTCCTGCCCCGAGGTTGACCACGGTCATCGGGCACAGTCAAAGTCTCACAGACTCCGGGCTTAGCAGGTGCTGGGAAGCGAGCAGAACTCCCTCCCTGACTCCAGGATCTGGAGTTTCTCCCAAGCCCAGACTCTGCCTTCAGACGCCCAGCAGCGAGACCTCCTCTGGCACCACGATGCCACTGCCTGGACTAGATGGAGCTCCCGCTGCTGCCAATCACACTGGCAGGCCTGCTCTCACGGCCGGTTGGCCATCAGGGGAGGCAGGAGGGGGTGAAACCGGAAGTCCGGCTCCTCTCTCCTGCCCCTGCCCCCCACAACTGCCCTTCCCACATTCGGGGGACAGCAGGCCTTGCACACCTGACATTTCTACGTTGATCCAGGACAGACCTGCCTGTCGGCTGATGGGACATCACACAGAATGATTTGATAAGGTACCATGAGGCTGCACACGACGCAGGAGGAGCTCAAACACTGTGCCTCTGGGTCCTGAGCTGGACCGGGAAGCGCACAGGAGAGACCTCGCACCCCAGTTTACCAAACCAGCCCAGCGACTACATTTGAGGACATGCTTGCACTGGCTACTCTGCTGGAGAAGGCTCCCCGTTACCGAGGCTGCAGCACCTCAGTCCTGAGCCAAAGCCCTCAGATTTCAGCTGGCACAGGACACTGTGGGCTGCGCCAGGCGCCCTGCTCAGGCACAAGAGACGTGGTGAGCAGGGCCGGGTGGGACTCAGCCCACATGTGGGACATGCCAAGGAAACCACTGCCTGCCCCACCCCACCAAGCTCAAGTACACCTTGAGCCCTCCAGCTCTCTGGACGTGGTAACCACTCCCCACAGAGATGAACAGATCAGCTGTAGCAGGAGGGGTACGCCCTGCTGACCTTGAGGTTGTTGGGGTGCTTGTGTGTCCACGCCAGGAGCATGGCGGCAAAGAGGTCCCCGGTGCCCACAAAGACAGCGTCCACCTTGCGAATGTCCATGCGGATGCGCTCTATCGCCATGGAGCCATCAGGGTGCCCTGGGGGACAGCATGGCCTGCTGGGACCCCAGATCCTCGCCAGCGGACNCTGACCACGGTCATCGGGCACAGTCAAAGTCTCACAGACTCCGGGCTTAGCAGGTGCTGGGAAGCGAGNAGCCCAGGCCTGGGCCCCAGCCTGCCCTCCTGCCTGCTCACCTCCTGCACTATGTGGTGGGGGGGTAATGTCACCCACGGAGGCTCACTTGGACAGAAGCCAGGACTCAGGGCCCTACCGGTGCCCTCAGCTCCCCACAGTGGATGCCCCATCCCAGGGGAGAAAGTAAAGATGGAAGCCCCAGATGACTACAGTCAGGATGGACTGGGGATAATTGTGCAGCTGATGAGGGGCCGGCTCACGTGATGTGGAGGGAGCCTGAGTAACCAGGGCACCTGGAGCTGTAGAGACTGTGAACTTACTGAAGTGTGTGTGTGTGTGAACAAGTGTGTGTGAGCAAGTGTGCGAGCATTTACATGTGTAAGCATGTGTGAATGCGGGAGTGCATGACTATGTGAGTGCGTGCGTGTGTGCATGTGTGAGTGTGTATCTGTGCATGTGTGCTCCTGCACACAGATGCAGGGGGGCAGTGAGAAGCAGCCTGTGGGGCTGCTCTCTGGGTCAGTGGGTGTGACCCCAGCCCCCATGTCATTCTAACGCTGTGCAGAGAACACCAACCAGGTGGCACTCTCATGTGCACAGAACACCAACCCAGGAGGCACCCATGTGATGAAACAGTGAACACAGCAGAGCAGGCAGGGCCCTCCCAGTCCCAGCTCTGTAGGAGGACAGTGTATGGACACCTGGTTTCGTGGGAGCCTCGCTCCTGCAGGGCTGTTCTCTGTGAGTCTCACATGTAAGTCCAGCCGTTGCTCTCTGCAGCTGGTGCCATCGTGGGGGAGGTGTCGGCACCCCATGCTCCATGGCACCCCAAATCAGGGAAACCCTTCCCCATTCCACTTTTAGTCGCATTTCTCAGGATGGGAGGGGGTGGTGACAAGTTCAGGAAACTGACACCCTGCTGAGTGAGGCATGGTTTTCTTTCTACTGATCCCAAAACCTTCACGGAAGCCTTAAGGAAGGCAAGTGGTGCAAAGGCGGGAGGGAGCTCAGTGCCAGGGCAGGGTGTGCGCGGGACTTACGGATCCTCTGGCTCCCCAGCACAATCAGGTAGTCACTGCCCTTTGGAGAAGGGAGGTCAGAGCTGGTGATGACCACGGTGTCGGGACCCATTGAGTGCAGCACGTCCATCACCTGCCAGGCACAGGGAGCATGTCAGCCACACCTCAGTCACCTGTGACAGGCTCCCGAAGGCCGTCATTCCTGCCCCCCGCCCCCCC